AGTAATTCAGGTCCCGAGAAGACCTCTAGCTTGACCCACGCATACAACAGAGACAGTCAGGCAGGCAATAATATAAAGTAATAATTAAATACATGTTAAATAAATTAAAGTAATGGAGAAGTGGCCAAATCAGTCAGCAAGACACCGGGATTTTCCTGACTGGCTGCATGGTTGCAGGCTGTGCACACGTCAATGCCGTTTACGTTCGGGTCCAGTCGGGTTAGAAAATAAATGCAGTCGGGTCAGGTCGGACTCGGGTCTAATTTCATCGGGTCTGTCTCGGGTCGGGTTTTTCTTTTTGAAAAAATAATTTATGCACGTCGGGTTCGGGCAAGAAGTAATTCAGGTCCCGAGAAGACCTCTAGCTTGACCCACGCATACAACAGAGACAGATCCCTTGCAAAGACCTCATCACCTCGACAACCATCGGCACAAGACCACGGGAACCAGACAAGACCTCGACAAACCAAGACAGCACCTGTGTTGCAGCCTGAAATTAAACCATATCATGCTGGTTTGGTCTGGTCAGAGGAGAACTGGCCCCCCGACTGAGCCTGGTTTCTCCCAAGGTTTTTTCTCCATTCTGTCACCGATGGAGTTTTGGTTCCTTGCCGCTGTCGCCTCTGGCTTGCTTAGTTGGGGACACTTCATTTCCAGCAATATCGTTGACTTGATTGCACAGATACTATTTAAACTGAACTGAGCTGGATGATGACATCACTGAATTCTATGATAAACTGCCTTTAACTGAAAAATTTATGTTTACTATTGTCACTTTGCATTATTGACACACTATTTTCCTAATTAATGCTGTACAGTTACTTTGACACAATCTGTATTGTTAAAAGCGCTATATAAATAAAGGTGACTTGACTTGACTGGAGAGGTGCCCTACACTGAGGAACAGGCTTTTTCCGAGACCTACAAGCTTCACATGACTCACAATACTGTTCAATGGCAATTCTCATTCCTGGCCAAAAGCACAAACTCTGAGCTTTTTTGAGTGTGCATCCGCACTGTAGTGTCCAGCACAGGGATCAAGTAAAGTAAAATCGTCGTAGAAGAAACTACAGGGATTTGAGACATGGCATCCGCATTAGAATGTCTCTTGCAATCTTTGTGAACAATCACCCAATCGTACAGATCAAGCTCCATAGCACACTAACCTGTACGTCCTGTGGGATCAACATCAAAGTTCAATTTCCTCAGCCCAATAAAAGGTTTGTGATCTGTGACAATTGTAAAAGGGCAGTAGTGACTAAAATGCCTAAATGACCAAACTATTTACCACAGTTCTTTGTCATAGGTGGACTATTTTCATTTGGTAGAAGTAAGTATGTGACTAGCATATGCAACAACCCGCTCTTTGCCATTTAGAATTTGAGACAGGACAGCACCAATAGCTGTGCCAATAGATGCATCTTTACTCAGTGTAAATGGCTGGTCAAAGTTAGGGAATGCCATGGATCAGACCGTCTTTCAGTTACTGAAAGGCTGCTGAACACTCATCGGTCCATTAAAAATGGACATCTTTGTGGGTTAATCTGTTTAAGGGTTAAGCTTTAAAGGCATAGCCTCATACAAATTGCTCAAACTACACAAGCCCAAAAATGCTCATACCTCAATAGCAGATTTAGGAGTCGGCCAATCTTTTACTTTTTGACTCAGCAGTGAAACACCTGAATGTTTCTCTGTTCTTTGCATTACCTTTATAAGTGGGAAAAACTATAAGTGGGAAAAACCAAATTACTAATTTCTGCCACAAAAATGTGGAGAGCCTCGCCAAGCAGGCGTGTGCATACTTTAACGTAACTTTGAAATTTGGATAGATAAACTTGTTTGCCAAAAACCTCTTTCATTTTGTCTTTCACTTGGTTATAGTCCTTCTTGATGTCACTCAGCAAACTGTCCCAGTAGCTACAAGCAGTACCACTCAGGCAAGTTGGCAAAAATGTAGCTAATCTGGCGTTATTAAAATCCATGTTATCTTCCACAGTCACTTCAAATTGTCTGTACCAGTAGAGAAAATCTTCTTTCCCATCCCCAAAAAAGATGGGTGGAAAATGTCCATTAAAGTGATGCACGGCAAGTGAACTACTCGTGCCAGAGAAATCGCATGCTGACTCCGCTTCACTCATGTTACAAAACAGTTCAGTTCTAGCTCTGTATATCTCACAATAAAAAAAATATCCCGAAAAGTTCAATAAATCAAACTAGGATTATCATTCTAGTCATCTGTTTTAAAAGCATGCTCAATATATCTCTGTAATCTGATGCTGCTGTGAAATACTCATGAACAAATTTGTCCACGGTTGAAACACAAACAAAGTTGACGTCCTGGATAACAGAAGGCTGAAATCTTGAGCCCGATATCGGTGTCCATCGCTGTGATGCCAAATCCATCGCATTTAATACCCGTTGAAGAGAAAGTTCACTTATGCGCCATTTGTGTCATCCAAACCCACTGCCACCAGAAATGTAAGAGGGGCTTTGAACCATAATAGGAATCTCCAGTCTCTTGTGAATGGGTTCCTGAGAATAATGCAGGCATACACAGAGACATGAAGCTTTACTGACTTTTAGAGCAGTGAAACACCTGAATGTTTCTCTGTTCTTTGCATTACCTTTATAAGTGGGAAAAACTTCATCCACCAAATTACTAATTTCTGCCACAAAAATGTGGAGAGCCTCGCCAAGCAGGCGTGTGCATACTTTAACGTAACTTTGAAATTTGGATAGATAAACTTGTTTGCCAAAAACCTCTTTCATTTTGTCTTTCACTTGGTTATAGTCCTTCTTGATGTCACTCAGCAAACTGTCCCAGTAGCTACAAGCAGTACCACCCAGGCAAGTTGGCAAAAATGTAGCTAATCTGGCGTTATTAAAATCCACGTTATCTTCCACAGTCACTTCAAATTGTCTGTACCAGTAGAGAAAATCTTCTTTCCCATCCCCCAAAAAGATGGGTGGAAAATGTCCATTAAAGTGCTGCACGGCAAGTGAACTACTCGTGCCAGAGAAATCGCATGCTGACTCCACTTCACTCATGTTACAAAACAGTTCAGTTCTAGCTCTGTATATCTCACAATAAAAAAAATATCCCGAAAAGTTCAATAAATCAAACTAGGATTATCATTCTAGTCATCTGTTTTAAAAGCACGCTCAATATATCTCTGTAATCTGATGCTGCTGTGAAATACTCATGAACAAATTTGTCCACGGTTGAAACACAAACAAAGTTGACGTCCTGGATAACAGAAGGCTGAAATCTTGAGCCCGATATCGGTGTCCATCGCTGTGATGCCAAATCCATCGCATTTAGTACCCGCTGAAGAGAAAGTTCACTTATGCGCCATTTGTGTCATCCAAACCCACTGCCACCAGAAATGTAAGAGGGGCTTTGAACCATAATAGGAATCTCCAGTCTCTTGTGAATGGGTTCCTGAGAATAATGCAGGCATACACAGAGACATGAAGCTTTACTGACTTTTATTTGTCAGAGCTCATATGGTTAGGAACATCATGCATTGCAGCTTGTTTCACACACTCCACTTCGCACGCTTGACCTGCGCATACAAAACATACATTAGCACACCAATTCCCTCTGAACAATAACCTTATCATAATAGCTGTAGTGCGAACTCCACTATTCTTATAGAATTAGAACAGTTATTAAAGTTATAGCTATTGTCCTTGTCTCCTATCTGTGAGCATGCGCCTTTTTGTGGTGCCATGCCTCGAGTAGCGTCTACTCTTTACCTAACACAGAGAGCAGACAAGATGACAGAAACAGTGTGATCGACTAAAATGTGATCGACTAAAAATGAGTCATTCATTTTTATGCTAGTAAACATGGATTTAAACACAATGGTCATTATACTGCATAACCAAAACTTATTGAGGTCATGCCTTTATATTGTGCAATAACGAGTAATTATCGTGAAAGGCCTACAGGATATTTTCAATGGTTGCAGTACTATGTAGAACTAAACCTTAAAGAGAATATGTTCAGTTTGAAACTGGATTGCACCCCTGGTGTTTTGGAAGGAATCTAGTCCTGATAGACACCCGTCTTAGTCACCAGAAGGTTTTAATCAGTTACAGATTCTCATTAAATATGACAGGACAGATAGGACAGAGGATTTTCATTTGTGACAGTTTACTATTTAGCAGCCCTAAATATTACCTATAACCTGAGCAGTACTCCATAAGTACATTTCAGATTTGGGTGTTTGTAGGATAGATGAATTGCATCAGGAGTGCTCCTGCTCCTGGGTGGCAGTCTGTGGTTCTTCAGCAGCTGTTTGCTCCCTGATAAAGGTACTTTCCCTCTGGAAGACTTTCTAAATGGTTTGATTGTCAAAGGCGGGGTACTTTAGCACCCTTAAGGACTGTAGTCTGGTTGCTTCACAAAAAAAAAAACTTTAAGAGGTCTAACTTTCAGTGGCTACATAACCCTAATCCAAAGTCTGTATTGCTTGTTTGAACATCTTAACCAAAGAAGCCTTAATAATGTAAGGAGCACTAGTAGGGATTTTCCCTGATATTCTTGACTCCATTAATGATACAGGTTTTGTCTTGCATTGGTGATAATGCTCGTTTGGGGCAGCCTCCTAATCTCATCTCCAACCCACCCAAAAACATTCGATACGTCAGATTATATTGTACATTATTATGCACAGTATACATGATTTTTAACAATTTTTTTATTGTTGGTCACTAGTCATTTAGCAGGCAAAGACCTCCTGGTTTTAAGTGTATTTTATTTTGGTAATATTCAAAGCCTCTACCTGGGACTGAGTATTGAACCTCTACATACATGTAGGCTACCAGACTCTTTCTAGCTTGAGCATTGCTAGTAGCCTGGACAATAAAGACAACTGGCATTTCTGTTTAATACTTTTCTTCAGAACAGGTTTCTTATACTCAGAATTCATTATTTTATTTGCGATTTTGTACACGTTTACCTGTATGTCATGTTGCTTTTCATCTACAGGTTAAATCCACAATCTCTTGGAGAAGTTCAGTGCTGGAAACACAAACAGCCATAATGAACAATGAGCAGTATCCTTCTTTACCGCTCAAAGAAAAGCAAATGAACATCATCAGCATCAAAGCCATAGAAGACATTGGGCATGATCTTCAAGATTCTATTGTAAGTTTATGTTTTACCCAAGTTGTTGACTGTTTTACTAAAATGTTCAGATTGATGGCAGTATGCAAGACAACACACTGTGGCACTTGCTTCTCTGAAAAAGATAAAAAGTCACTCTGAAAAGAGATGGCATTATATGGATCTTATATACAGTACCATATAAGAAACCCAGAGGTAAAAACAACATACCTAAGTGTGCTTACACTCATAACGTAATGATCAGAATTCCAAATGTACTCTTTACACGGACTAAGCTGACTTCTTACCAAAAGCGAAGTGTGAGAGTGAGGGGCTCGAGCGAGGGCATCAAACGAGGGCATCTTGGAGGCTTTGATGTATGGCTTTATAGTTGAGTCTAATATTAGCTCCTGGCTCCTCTCACTCCTCTCAAGTAACATCAGGGATCAGTTTGTGACTTGAGGCTTACTTCATTCTGAAAGACAGAAAGAACAGACAGACAGAAAACAGTTCAAGATTAAGAGAGAGTGAGAACAGGTTGGAGGCAGGTTTCTTACTGTGACTGGGAGATGGATTTACCCGAGAATGAAAGTGGTGGGTCTCAACCTTCAACTGCCCAACAAACACACTTCTTAAGGGATGTGATCTTTCATGGAAAACTGCAAGTGAGTGTGGCATGTATCAATGAATATTTATGAAGTTTTAAGACTTTAATACCATATATTTAGCAGTGTATGTGCAATATCTGCTATTAATGATGACTATTATTTATTGACAATTTGATAAATGTACATAAGTTACATATATATCAGTAATTAAAGTACATTAGCACATGCTAGATCTGTATGTAATGCTTTTTGCTCCTAAAATATGAGCACATGTCCCCATAAGATGAAGGGGCATGCCAGAGGAAATGTTATACCCCATAACACATTCGGCAGTTGCTGGATCAGTTGCAGTCGTTCTACAAAAACAGCTGACCTAAATGAATAAGGACTTCCAAAAAATATTTTCTAAGATTACTGTTGCATAGTTTGTTTGTGCTGAAGTCTAGACAGCATTTTATAGGGAACACATCACATACAGTTATCTCAACAGTGCATCATTATGTACACATATGTACGCCACAGAAATATGCTTACTGTACCTACACTTGCATAATGTCAGTAATATTGTCGATATTAAATGTAACTGTCATTTTACGCACAATTGTTTTGGTCTGTTCTGTTGATTATACGAGTTGGTTAGATTGTGGTTTGCATAGATGTAATAAGAACCCATAGCTGTTGCCATAGTTCACACTCTCAAGTTCAAGGTTACTCATGTTGAGCATTATTTAACGGTGTATTAGCAGCTGTATGTCAAACATCACACAGATCCGTCACCCGTAAGACTGCAGTGTTATGGGATATCTCAGGCCCATAGATGCAAAACATTTGCAAAACATAACATATCTCCAGCAGTTTGTCTCTCCAAAACAAAAATAGTGTGGCAGTACTGCCAAACATGGACATTTCATGTTGTCCTGTTGGAGAAATAATTATACCTTGCTACAACAGGGTTTCATAAAAGTTTATATTAAACTACACAAAGATGAATGAATATGCGCCTAAGTTAGTTGTTAATCGGAAGTTACCCAGTTCTCTTGAACCTCACATTGCAATGAGCTCTCGGTTAGTTTCTTATCACACGCTCACTCTGTTTTATGTTTTGTGTAAAATATATTAGTAGTTAATTACTTGTTAGACACATCAGATTTAATACAGACTGCTGAGTGTCTTTTAAAGGCAATTACCATTGGTTATTGTGTAAATTTTTAATAACCAAATGCAATGTCACTTATGCTCATGTTTTATCCTCCCCTCTCCTGTCAGCTCCTGAAGTCTCTCGCTCCCGAGGAGAACACAAAATGCCAGCAGGGTCTGTATTTCCAGGACGGCAAGAGGCGGGTGGACTACGTCCTCACTTACCACATCAAAAAGACAAGCAGCTCCCGACGCCACACATCACGTCTCAGAGACAACGCCTTCACCCGCACCCTGCGGCGGGGTCGAGAGCCGCCTCCACCTGCAGCCAAAGATGACGCTGAAGTGGGCTCGCCTCACCACAGCATGGACCACCACGATGATGACAAATGTTTAAGGCGTGAGGAGTTCGAGAGTAACCTGATGGAGATGGGCCTGGAGCTGGAGCGAGATGAGGAGGTACGTGTGTTTTTCATCATGATGGATGGATGGATGGAGCCTGCATTCCTGCTCCACAAGGCTTTTGTTTGCTGGAGGTTTGTTTTGTCTTTTGGCTGAGCTCAGCTGTTTTACTTCAACACTCACCATGAAGGGCCACAAAAGACACATTGTCGTGTCACACTGCACTGGTTATGACATGAGATGCTCAGAGCTCAAAACTCCTATTTGGAACTGTCACATTGAGAGACTTCACTTACGGTCGCTTGTTCATGGTTTTTGCTGTTTCATATTCTAAATGGATAGATGTGGTCCTGAGTGCTGATTGGTCGCTATAGTATTCCAGCCATGGTAAAATATTACTCAATATAAGCCTCCTGGCACAAGCAAATGTGCTGTTGCACTGAATATCATCACGGCTGTGATTGAGCCACAGACACAAGAATGCAGGTGATCAATGATATCCAGTACTACAGAATGATTGTTGATGACTGTCATTTTTTATACAGCAGTTCTGTAAACAAGTCATTGACTACAAGTCATTGGCTTCCATGGCTGCAGTACACTGTATTTTCCACCAATTGGCAACCTGTGGTGTCGAAATGCTATTGGGTAAATTGGCTATAGGCGGAGTCAAACAGACCAAAACAAAAACAGACATTCCAACACAGAACACACATTTCAAAATAGAATAACTGGCTGTAGCGTTGTTTGTCAGAGAAACATATTTATGCACTTGGTATGTTTTCTAAATATCTGCAAACATATATGCATTTTTATGCTTTAGTACAGTCAAAAAAAATTGTAATACAGATACAAATACTACAGCACCTTTACAGTGATCCATTGTTGAAATGTGCACTTGTAGTGTACTTAAAATCTTAAAAGTATATTTAAAAAAGCTGTACTTGCATATATTAAAGGAATAGTTCACCCAAAATTAAAAATTTGCTGAAAATGTACTCCACGGTTTAAAATTAAAACGTTAGTTAATGGACTGGAGTCGTGTGGATTATTGTGATGTTTGGACTTTCATTCTGACGGCACCCATTCACTGCAGAGGATCCATTGATGAGCAAGTGATGGAATGCTACATTTCTCCAAATCTGTTCCCATGAAGAAACAAACTCATCTATACTGTATGTTGGATTTTCAGCAGATGTTCATTTTGGGGCAAATATTCTTTAAATGAAATAAAAGACCAATTAAGTGTACTTAATGAGAAAATATGTTTCATGTTTCCCAACACATTTAAGTACTTTATTGTAATGTCAAATTAAAAAGCTTTACTGAAATACACATTAAACCATTATTTTTCAATTATGTTCTGCTGTGCTTCCAAGAAGTACTTATTTTGATGTACTGATTAACTTACTAAAGCTCACATAAAGTACTTGATTATAATTGTAGAAAACTGTAGTGTGTTATTTGATATTACACATAAAGTTATAATGTGTTTAAATGTACTAAATTGGAACTTTATTAAGAATGTTTATTTACAAATATATTTATTATGTTATACATGTTTCAATAGAAATTACGTTTATGTATATTTTAGTTTACTATTAATTCTTCTCAATACATTTGGAAGTACACTTTAAAAAGCCCTCTAAAGTTCAGCTAATTGCATTTAATATAAATTAAACTAGAATAAATTTACTTGCAATTAACATGCAACTATGTGTCCAAATAATTACATTCATTTTAATACTTCAGTATGTACTTGTATACTGTTTCCGCACTCTTTTTAGAAGTATGCTAAAGTGTAAGGGATAGTTCACCCAAAAATGAAAATTCTGTCATCATTTACGCCCCCTTTTGTCATTTCATGTAAATCTTCAAATTCCATTAAATACACATTATTTTGATTAATACGCTTAACTAATTAAATAAATGCTGATCAAGCTAGACGAATAGGGATTACAATTGTAGTATTTGACCTTTGTCAGCATCTATCCAACAATAAACATAACCAATCAGTGTAAACTTTTTTCCCAATCAGTTTGGGATCCAAACTGTAAGCAAAAACCCAGATAGTAAGATCAGATTTCCAGATATCGGACCACCACTTCAGGCTCACCATCTGACCATCATATATTAAACTTGCCTGATCATTGAACTGATTAAATCTTATTTAACACAGCCTAATTCAATTTGGTTTCATATACCAAAGGCTATATTTAAAAGTTTTGTTGAGCCATTATTTTGATTAATACGCTTAACTAATTAAATAAATGCTGATCAAGCTAGACGAATAGGGATTACAATTGTAGTATTTGACCTTTGTCAGCATCTATCCAACAATAAACATAACCAATCAGTCTAAACTTTTTTCCCAATCAGTTTGGGATCCAAACTGTAAGCAAAAACCCAGATAGTAAGATCAGATTTCCAGATATCGGACCACCACTTCAGGCTCACCATCTGACCATCATATATTAAACTTGCCTGATCATTGAACTGATTAAATCTTATTTACCACAGCCTAATTCAATTTGGTTTCATATACCAAAGGCTATATTTAAAAGTTTTGTTGAGCTTGAAAAGAGTCTGCACATTCAAACAACTGTTAGCTTGACATTGAAAATGGTCAACATGTGACCGAAACGTTTGCCTTGTTTTATTCAGTAAATTGCATATATTGTTCTCATCTCGCTTGTGATGCTTTAATGTTTGAATGTGCGGACTCTTTTCAAGCTCTTCATCTTTGGGGAACCTTTTTTGGTCTACGCACTTCAGTTGGATTTTTTTGAAGGCGCGGTGAGTCTCTGGCTGCTTCTCTGTTAGAATTTTTGTTGAAATGCTACTGAGATTTCTAAATTGCCTGTTAAGCTTTCAAATTTCCACAAACAGATATTGCAATACTGGAAAATGATATTTACCCACAACTTTACACCACATGAAGCCACCTTGTGGAATAATAGAATTATTACAATAAATAAGTGGACGCTATTTAAACAAGAATGATTCGAGAAAAAAGTTCTTTATGTTGTCGATTTGATATATGAAGATGATCAGTTAATTCAGTATAATGCATTCATGGAGAAATGTGTGATAAAATGTTCCTTTAGAGAATATAATACTGTGTGTAGAGCCATCCCTCTTGCACTAAAACAATTACAAAATACTCTAACATATTCTGATTTAAGACAGAACTATTTAGATCAGGGTAAGAATCACTATTCCCTAAATAATTAAAATGTGGAGAACAAAGATATCTCCATAACGAATTTCTCATATTTGTCATAAAATCATTATATTCTATGTGTTTAGTGTTTAATGAATTTGCAGACAATGTATTTATCTGTAACTCTCATATAACTGTATTTCCACTGTCTAAGAGCAGAGTGCTATTGAATGTGTATAGCTGATATGAAGTGGGTCAGAACTAAAATCAGAACTGAAAACAAATTCTGGATGAAAAAAACCCCCCAATAAATGTCCAAACAGCGATTCTATCACAGCATTTATTGTGTTTTATCTTGTGCATCATTTACATTTAGCATTTGATGTTGATTTGAAAGGAAACTTTATAATTGTTACTTATTATTGGCATCATTGTACATATTGAGAATTCATTGCACTGATTTTAAATTCAGTTAAGGTATCTGACATAATATGACATGACATAGATTTTTTTTATATGCAGTGTCTTAAGAGCCATATAGGCTATAATATGTTGTTTTTAGATAAATCGCTCAGAGGGGTTTGACCAGTTAGACAGACAGACTACTTAGGTTTATTTATTTGTACAAATCATCCAAGCAACCCAATCCCAGCTATTTCTAATATACATTTGATTAATATTGCTAAATATTATTGAATTGTAATGAAATTAAAGATCCCAGTTTTGAAAATAATTTAAGATTCCAGTTGTGAATATAATTTAAAAATTCAATTAAATTATTGAAAATAATTTAATTGATGTTCAACAAATAAATTCATTTCTAGCTCAAGAGCACAGAGAGATTTGCAAGTGCTCAGGACACAGTTTGAGCGCGCACACGCGCACGCTTTAAAGGTGGGGTAAGTGATTTGTGGTAGCCAATGTTGATATTTCAAATCACCAAAACAAACACGCCCCTACCCCAAAAGGGTCTCGCCCCTATTTTGATAGCTCTGCCCCACACATACGTACACAACCCAGGCAACAATTAGTTCTGTGAAACAAAGCAAAACAATGTTACACCGTGTCTACACCGGACGCGAGCGGCGCGACAAATTACTTTAGAACTCTTTATGACGTATTGACACAAATTTCAAATGATTTTCAACAGTATCTGAAAGCGCGCATCCGGTTTAGTGCGAGAGCAAAGGAAATCCACGTGCGAGCAGAAAGATTCGCACTCGCGCATCATATTAATGTACTTTCGCTCTACAACAGTGCGCTCTCGACATTTGTCAGTAAAATAACGCCATAATTTTCCCTTATGAAAACTTTGTCTTTTCAAAACTGCGGGGGTCACCACCCCCCGTCCCCTGTGTTAACGGCACGCCTGGCTGTGACAACATCGCACAACTGCTGCATTTAAAGTCATCACCCTCACAAACATTAGTTATGTGTTTTCTTCTCTGGCTTTCAGACTGTGATAAATGTGGTGTATTTGCATATGTGTTTAATAAATAAGATTTACTTGTGTGCACCTGTTCTTCTCGGTGAATATTTTTAATTTTATGAACATGTATGAAGACATATAAAACCATGTATAGTTCTGGTCATGTGATTATGTCATTAAATGCCTTGTAGAATTTCATGAATTTCATAATTAGCAAAAGTAATGACGATCACAGCTGTTGAGCTGTTTGTTTTTGGCTGTGAGACTCACCCTGAAATGAGATCCCCTGTCCTGGAGTCTATGTAAGGCCTATGCGTCAGGTCACACGTGGTCTGGTGCGTAGTGTGAGGTGACCCTTGTGTGTAGGTGACCCAGCCTGGCTTGGGTCATTTCCTGATTCCATTACTCCTGCTTCTCCTTTTCACTTCTTGACATTTCTTCACTGCAGTGTCATCTACAGTGTTG